TATACCCTTATGTATTCTACAATTCAAAATCATTTGTGCACAAAATTAATATCCTAACCTCGTATATAATGAATGGTATGGTTTTGAAAACAAATCCACTTGCATAAGAATAACAAAACACTGAAAACTATTTATTGTGAACCAAAAAGAGTATTTTGTTTCAAGAATTTGCAACCATTTAAATTCTGGCTTGTTGTTGTTCTTTGCCGTCAAACCAGTTTTTAAGTTCCAAGAATTGCACCAAAGAGCCTGGTAATTTTTTTTCTTTCATATTGATATGTAGAAATTGTATAGACAATAATTTATATATTTTGTTATTAAATTTATATATGGCAATAAATTTAAAACAATAAAGAATTCAGAACAAGTTTATCGTAGAAGAATAACAAAAGACCAATATAAAAGAAAATAAATATTTGAGATCAGGTAAATCAAGCAAGGAATTAAGGAGAGGCGTAGAAAAGAAATCGATTAGCAAGAGTGAAATATTTACATTCGTTTCGAATGCATTTTTAATTAGAGACAATTTGCAAAATTGAAATATTTACCGTATGATACTAAGCTTATTACAAATTGGAGGATGTAAAAAGTATAAATTATCGAATGTCATACCATTTAAAGCTGAATGAAGCTTCCCGACATATATTTCCTATCCATACATTTTGTCGATGAAATAAAACCTATGACTGTGTCTGTCATACTTGTTTCTCTTGAAATCAAAAAAAAATCTCTCATTGCCGAAAAAATTCCATTCATAATTCCATTAGATTCATTATATTATAGCCAAACAAATGTCGAGCTAACTCAAACAAAAAATTAAAAATTGATTTTCAAAATATCATCAACAACAAAAACAAAACTATTTTGTGGGCTATTGCTAATATTTTACGCTTTCGTAATAAATAAACAATAAAATTATTTACGAATATTTTGTTGCGGTATGGTAGGGTATGATACGGTGCGGTTTGTTTTCAGGCAATTGCAGCAATAAAACGTGATACCACTAAAAGAAGGCAAACACTTTGGCTATTTTGTGATAATACGACCAGCAAATATTCGTGCGCCTGACGATTGAGCAAATAGACAGATTTGGAAACGCCAAGACCTCTTGACGCTTATGGAGTTTTAATTGTAAGCTTACGGATTCGATACTCTTCGTGTGTGTGTGTGTGTGTGTGTGAGAGCGTATGAGTGTGTGCATATTTTTCATTTATAGATTTTCACACTTCCACTTTCAACAGATTTCAAATGAAAAAAATAAAAAAAGATGAAAAGTATTTTTCATAATAAAAAATTCCTAAACATTGTGGCTTTCATCAATGATGTTGGTCATCATCATCATCAGCCTCATCATTGGTTGGATTTGTTTGTTAATTATTTATAAACAACAACGTTAAACAGCATCGATACAACAAAAACGAAAAGTGGATAGATCGTCTTATTGGAAAACAATAACAAATCGACAACTATAATTTCAAGAGGCATGGAATCGAATTCCACAAAGCTATCCACAGTGTGTGTAGAGTCTACGACAGGTTGCTGGTGTTGTTGTTGGCAATACTTCCATATAAATAAGAACACCGTTGCCACATTACAACAATGGTATGTTCAACATTATCAACCACCCATACCACCAACCAACCAGACAACCAACTATCAACGACCTATAATTAGTAATTTATTAAATCGAAAAATGAAGGAGAAGAAAAAACAAATATTTGGATTGATAGGCACACACACACAACACATGAATGTGTGTATCAACAGTAATATGTTTTTGGCCTAATACTATCTTTAATAGCCTGCCCGCCTGCTTTTAGTAACTAAGTGAAGAAGCGGCCAACAAAAGCCACATTCAAAAATACCGCCCGACCAACCTATCCATGTTTTTGGTATCAAGTGAAAGTCATTGCCTTTACTTGGCATAGATTTTCAGTTGATTCGTTCGATTTCGTTAAATTACCACCTTTTTGGAGTCCACATTTGATACGGCTGTGATGATAGCAGCGGCTCCAACCAAATATCGTGCGTGAATTTATTCAACGAATTTCTTCACAGCCGCCATACGAATGAATGAATGGGTGCGTGTCCGTTGATTATGTTAATGCGTCTATTGACTTGACTTTACTGTTAAAACGTTTAAAAATTTGTGTTAATCGTTGCCAAAAAATGGGGTGTCATTTTTTTGGCAACAATTAATTATTGACAGCAGCATAATGTTTTAAATGAAAGCATTTTATGGTTGATTGATAGATTGATGTGTGCATGTATTTTCAATTGGACGAAATTATGGAGGAGGTTTTGATAAGGAAAAAATGTTTCTCTATCAGCTGGGTTTTAGTGGAACAAAAGGGTTTCATATGGCAACCAGACGCATTCCTAGGTTTTGGCAAAAAACGATTGATAATTGTTTATCGAAATCTAGGGGAACTTGTTCAAGACCTTTTTATAACAGATTAATCTTCTATTACGAACATTGTATTCCCTTGGAACAAAATTAGTTATAGAATTGTTCTCTCAAACCAAAACAAAAAAACCCAATGAAGAAATGTTTACCGCACTCATATGAGCCGAGCACCTCCCTTTAAGAATCACGCAAATGAGATTTATCTTGAATCCTTTGGCTAAAAGAGGCAAAATGAATTCGAACATGGGAAAGATAAGCAAAGAAAGGAATCATTCAGTCCACCGTCCAAACAAATATTTTAATTATACCCTCCACTAAAAGATGGAGTGTATATTAAATATGTCATTCCGTTTGCAATCCCTTGAAATATACAAATATTCACCTAAGAAAGTATTATTTTGTGGAAAAAGAAATCCATTAGGCCGGTTGTCGAAAATGTCGTTAAAATCGGAGAAATGATAGAAGTTGACCGGCATGTAAGCAGTCGTAACGTCACTCAGAAGCTAAAAATCAATCATAAAACTGATTTAAACCATTTACACAAACCTGGATTCAAAACGAAACTCGATGTTTGGGTGCCACACCAATTAACAGAAAAAATAGAATGGATTGAATTTCCATCTGCGAAGCCTTGGCCAAAGGGAATGAGATAGACCCATTCCTGGTAACTGGAGATGTGAAATGAATCACAATGAATAACTCTATGCGAAAACGATCGTGGTCAAAGAGCGGTGAAGCACCTCAAACGACCAAACCAGGACTAACGGCCAGGAAGGTTCTTCTATGCATTTGGTGAGACTGGAAGGGGATTATTTATTATGAGTTGCTTCCATATGGCCAAACGCTGAATTCTGATCTCTACTGTCAACAACTGGGCCGTTTGAAGATGGCAATTGACCAGAAACGGCCAGAATTGGCCAACAGGAGATGTGTCGTGTTCCACAAAGACAACGATAGGGAGCTAAGACAACGATATCGGGAGCTTGGTTGGGAAGTTTCTTGCATTGCAAAAGGATTGTGAAAATAGAATATTAGAGTTTTTTTGCAATAGAGAGTAGGACTTCAATGAGAGAAGCATTATGAATCAAATCATACAACAAACGGTCCCAAAACGGACGGATCCGAAGCATGTTAAATAAATTCCTATAGTTCATATAAAAATAATGGATTTCTTTTTCCCCAACCTAATATATATTCTTGATCAGAATGAAATTCTTTGTCGATCGCAGTATTTAATATAGAGATTTTGCTACGATGTTTAGTATTATATCGGTCAACGTTTTGGTGTAGGCCCATATAACGGTAACCCACAATATTCGTAATTTTCTATTTTGAATTGATTGTAATATTCGGTATTTTGGGAATATAAGACTCGTTTTAAACCGAATTGGCTGTAATTATTATTTTGGGCTATACTTGTATAGTTCTTGTCCGTACCAAAAATTATTAATATTGGCATAAGTTACCGGTTAGCCCCCATTTAACGGTAGTCCCAATATTCGGTATTTTGTAAACGTTTTTCAACCGAATTGACAGTAGCTTAGTATTTCTGGTTCTAATTGTATAGCACATCCTGTGCTAATAATTATGTCACTACAAAAAAGAATCAATATTGATACCTGTTTTGGTATAAGTAATAAACTTTTTCTCACGTTTTTGTGGTATATCCAAGGTCCTATCACAACATCAGTTTTCTCCTAGAATAATATTCTGAAGAAAAAGGTTTGTCATTTCTCAATTAAAATAAAAAAACTAACCTAATTTGTAAAAAGTCGCAGTTAAGAAATTAAAAAAAAAAATAATTAAAATTAAAAATGTAGAAATAATGCCAAAACGAAGACAAAAAAGATTTGAGTCAAATTGTGTGGATACATGGGGTGCATCTAATCGGACAGTAGCATAACATATTTTTAATATCAATATGTAGGTATTTGTAATCATTAATTTAAAAAAGATAAAATAATTCTCAGCAGTAACCCTTGGAAGAGTAATTCAGTGTGACGTTCGTGTCTTAAGTCTTTAGTTTAAAATTCTTACACAATATATGTCGATGCTACAAATTGTGAGGAAATCTAATTTGCTCATCACTTCAAAACATAAATGCTAGAAGGAATCATTTTCAATTGTATTACATTTACTTCTATCTATATTACTCTATTTTTAGAACTATTTATACTTTAGATACCATTATCTACAATTATAATGTTTTATTTATTTTTCTCTTTCAAACCTTTCAACGCATTTTTCTGTAATAATAAAAAAACCTAATTAAATATTACAACATCTTTGCTATTATTTTCAAATCAAAACCATTGTATTCATAATTTTATTCCCTCGCATTAACACTTGCACACACACACACTCACACCTGCACGCACACCTAAAGCAGCGCGCTACAGCAGACAGTTGATATTGCCTGTCAGTAAATCATCCATGTAGCTGACTAGCTACGTAGTCAGCATTTATATTAACCGACATACGAACGTACCTTTATGCATACATAAATATGTATATTTAAATTAATCTGTAAATATATAATTTCAAAATAGTTTGCCATCATTCATGCGTATGTACAAAATGTATGTATATCCACATGACTGTCGGCCTTATACCGCTACACATTCACAATCGCCATCGCATCAGTGTCTTGGCCATTTTACACAGTCACAGCTACAGTGACCAGCCTGATTATGGTTACGGTCTTGTGAATCTGATTGAAACTTAAAGGAAGGTAGTCAAGTCAAAATCAAACTCTCAAATGACTTTGATCAAGTTATGGAAATACAAAAACAACAATTACAACAACAAATATTCAATGATAGCATTAGATGATGTTGTTGCTAGTGTTTTTTTTAACGTCTATGTTTGTGTGTGTGTATGCTAATACACAATATTTACATATATTGATTTATATGGGAGTCTCTGGATGTGTGTGTGTGTGTGCGTGTGTAAGTGTTTCTGTTGGGTATGTAAATAAACTTGAAATACTATTTGATAAGCCTCCAAGCAGATGCTGTCAAGCGTTTCTTAATTTTCTATTTAACTTTTTAAAACGAATTGAATGACCTTAGATCGCTCTTTGAATTATTTATTCAAACATGAAATATTAATTCCCTATCGATAGACGTCTAAAAAAAAAAGAACATGTGTAGGCAGTTGGGCATGTCTGTGCCGTTGTGGTTTGTTCACAACTAGTTGTGGCGAAAATAAAAATACCAAACATAAATGGATATGTTTTCCGAACAGCCTAATAACTATTTATCCGAAACTAATTATGAATCAATACGTTAATGTTGTTATGCCGATAAAAAATGTGTAATTGATAATTAATAGGGGTCCATAGCAGTCTTTAAGAGGCAAGTGTTTGAATAAAGTAAAATAAATGATAAAAAATATCGTGATTGAAGGTATCATCAATACATGTGGTATGAGTGTTGTGTTGTTACCAACACTATGATTTAGCAGAGCTAAATGATAATACTTATCACATTTTTATTTATATAAATACTTAACTATATATATTTATGCGAACCGTTTCATCCAACCAACGTTGTTATTCATTCCTTTAGATTTTTTATTCACGTGTTAAATAATTGTTTATTTGCTGATTGTTAAAATTTTGTTATTAAATTTGGGCGTGTTAACAAGTCAGATATTTTTTTGCAAAATTAATATATATTTTTTATAGTTGATGAGCTATGAATTATTATTATTATTTTTAACACCAACTGAATATTTAATATTTTCCATTTAAAAGGTAACTTTATTCTTCCACCCTATCAAGGAATTTCAAAGAATTTTCAATATTAGGTTTCTACGGCCCAACAGAACTCCATGGTCCTTTTTTTATTAGGGGATAATTAAATTTGTATATATACTTTGGAAGCTTACATTTTAACACAATGGGGTTAGGACGGACCCGACGGAAAAAACATGTCTTTCCTTTGAGAAACTGAAGCACTTGCGCATTAGTTGAATTAAAAAATGTGAAATTATATTTTTGTAAGATTTTTAGATTTAGGTAATATTTTTCTATGTTGAATACATTTTTATATAGAGTTGTTCACCATAACCCAAATGTATTTGCCAGAGCAAACCGATCCTGATTTAACCTAATAAATTCAAGTCCTAACGGATGTTCAACCCCACAGAAAATATATATAGGTTCACTTTCAATTTCGTCCCTTCAGAACTCTTGGTCAATTTCATTAAGGTATTTTAAAGACATAACAGATATCCTTCTATACACAAGAAACAAGTTATACCTTCTCAAGTTACACCCTCCACCAAGAGGATGACATTCAAAAAATGTGAAATTAATGGGGGCTCCCTGTTGTGATAGGACTTTGAATACACTGAAAAAGGCGTGAGAAAAATATGAAAAATATACAATGAGAACCCAAAATACTACAAAATATTGCCAATTCGGTTGAAAAACGCGTCACAAATCCCCATAATACCGAATATTGGAGGTTACCTTTATATGGGTGCTAATTGAGTAAATATTAATATCATTTTTGGTACGGGTATGTGCTATACCATGATGACTCAAAATACAAAATCTAAAATTTCCAAAATCCCCAGAATACCTAATATGGGGGTATCGTTATACGGTGGATACCCCGAAACTTGGGGTCAATATTAATAATAACCAAATTTTAGCACGGAGTGTAATGTACACAACATAAGTTAGTTGTAGATGCAAATTTTTCTATAAAAGTTCAAGGCATCTAGGAACCTGAAGCATCTGCTGTACAATAAGAACCCATAAAACCAAATTATAGTCCAAATTCCCCAAAATACAAAATACTGGGGGGGAGGGGTGGTTGAATGTGGTCTACACCTAAATGTGGATCGATATATCCCTTTGCAATACAAAATACCAAAATTTAGGAGCTCTGTCTTTACTATTGCGATATCTATCATGATTTTAACAGACGTACAGATACACGGACAAGCATAAAACGACATAGAATTTTATTCCGATCAAGAATATACATACATACATTATTGGGTTTCCGGTAAATATTTCGATATGTTACAAATGGAATGACAAATTTAATATACACTCCACCTTATGGTGGAGGGTATAAAAAGTGTTGGTTTCCACTAACATCTCTGAATAGCAACTTCTCTTATAGCTAGTCCATAATCTTAAGCGTGTTATCAAAACATGTGTTATAAACCGAACTAAACCTGATTATAGACCTACTAATCATAAATGAATCGAATAATTTAAATTGTTATTATTTCAATAAAAAAAGTTTTACGACATTTGCGATTTCTTGTTTGTTTTCGATAAAGTTTTTGTCTTGAATTGAAAACATTTTAAATGATTAAAATCTACGTAGCGTAAAATATCGAAACACACACACACATTTGGCTCTAAAAATAGATAATGCATTGACTAAAAATAAAATGCAAATCGATTTTATGTAAATGATATGTATTTTGTTAGTTTTTTTTTTCAAATAACTGGCCATCATCTATCTGTCATTGACTGTGATGATGTTGTTTGTATACATGTTTGTTTCTTAAGTCTTTTGTTTTCTTATGAATTTCATCATGAAACAAACATTTACATTGGTTAGATTAATAACATGCAGTATATGTTAAATATTATTAATTTAAAAGTTAAACATTTTTCACACCAGAAAATATTATGTCAATATTAAACAAATATATATATATATATATAAAGAAAATTATAAATACATGAGTATTATTTCTTGTTTGTCAAACATCAAAACTCTTTTGATTCGTTTAACCTTGAGCAGCATCTGCTAAGATATTTGAAATTATTCATATTAGTCCCACATGTGAGCGTTTATTTCTATTTATTATGTACATTGGAGTGGTCTTCACGTTTAGAAATATTTCAAAAATGCAGCTGCTTTGCAACTTTAAAAGCAATAAAATTTTGTTTTGATTTATTGATTTTCTATGCAAGCTAAACGAAATCACTTGCCATCAAGTTAAACAGCCAACATCACTGCACAGCTCAAGATTAAATGATGCCAGCAGAAAACTTTGCTACATACTCACTTTGAGAGAGTGAGTGTGTATCGCTGTGTAGCATTTCAATATCATTCACAAGTTTGTTTTTATTTTGTTATCTGTTTATTTGTCTTCTTTATTTTTTATTCGACAGAATTTATTGGCAATCAAAACAAATCGTTAGGCCCCTCTTCTACCTTCAAGAGTGTAGAAGGCCAACACACCAATACCCAATGTATAGTTTTAATTTTTGGTTTTTTGCATTTTTGTCACGAAGCAGTTGTGGTTGAGACACGGCTACAGTAGAAAACAAAAGTTTATTTCAAAACAACGTTTAGCTATTAGTAATTGAACAATTATTTTGTGTTATTTCAAACACGTATGTAGTTCTTCTTTTATTATTCAACTGACCTTGAAGAGTAACGATCTGATGTGCATCAATTAAAAAGACACAACTTGTGAAATATATTATCGAAATAGTGCGATGTATTCCAAAGATGACAAACAAGGATAAATTTCAAAATTATATGAACATTTATTTTCATTTAAAAACAAGAGTCTTACATTTGTCATATTCCAGAATTTAAAACGGATAGCCCTTTTAAAGAATTGCTATTTATTTAATGTTTTACACTGATGTCTACTTATTTTGCTCAGCACTGTAACTATACGCTCACATTGTCTGTCCCCTGTCAGCTTACACCCTATCATTGCCGCTAATAACTTGAGCACTTACAAAAAACAAAATACAAATTCTCAAAAAGTCAATAGCCCCACAATAACAATAGAAACATCAACTGATATGTCAAAATTGTCTTTGTTGTTGTTGCTGTTACTTCCATTTTTGAACGTACGAGTATACCACGCATTAAAATCTCTCATATTGGCTGAACAAAAACAATATTTGAGGGCAGGTATTTTAAGGGGGGATAGACATATTGTTGCTGTTGATGTTGGTCCATAAGCTAACAAATAAACGAGAAAAAAACAAATCTGAAAAAAAGCCTTGAGGCACATCTTGACTCTTTTATTATTGAAAAAAAAAAAAAAACACAAACAAAATGTGTCTTACACATCCCATGTCAATGTAATAATAAAACAGCATTGCAAAGGTAGTTCTATTCATATGGGGCATGAAACTCATTTGGGCAACAAAAAGTGAGATGACCCTAGACTCTGTAACTTGGATTCATGGATTTGTTAAAAAAAAAGTTTAATACAGTTCCATGTTTAGTCATATCCTCCATATAAGGGTCCGGATCAAATTTTGATATGTTGAATGCACACGGTGCCACGATCGCGGCCAAAAATGGTCAAAATCAAGTACTTCGGAGGAATACTTCGATGCGAATCCAATGAGAATAAATATGAAAAAATGATATTGCGATAACCCGTTTGCACAAAATCAAAAAGTCGCTGTTGTAAACATAAATTTACTGTGAAAAAATTTCACTCCGGGGGGCCGAGCCGAGACCGAGGTTGAAAACATTACATTTGGAGAGATATTTTCTCAAGATTCTATCAAGTCATGTCACAAAATAATTAGGAGCAACCCGAACTTTTGGTAAAGCCGAGCCAGTATTTTATATTACACACCGGCTTTATTATGTTGCCAATAAAAATTTCCAATTTTCATTGAATTTGAATGAATATTAAAGATTATATAGACCAAAAGTGTGAAATTTTTATGACCCATTATATG